CTGACCAAGCATGTTGAACACATGAAAGCTGCAACCTCGCAAACGGGGTGACACCATTAGTGCCTGAAGAAGAGGAATTTCTTTGGAGACCAATCTGGCCACAAGAGTTGGGCTATGGGTCCGGTACACGCTGCTAGTATCCGAGGCAGAGTCACAGGAACTGGACCTGGTGAAAACACCCCAGAAGAAGCTGCAGGAGAAAGAATGGGCCTATGTCTCCGGACTAAGAGGAGGAGGGATGTAGCAATGCAACAAGTTCAGTCAGGTGGATCTCATAGCATATGAGTTCCCCAGTTGGGGCTATTAACTTGGTCCAATCAGAGTCCTGGTTGACAGATACAAACAGTGTTAACCAGGAGATTAGAAACTCCTCAGAAAAAAATATAAACTGGGCATTGAGAATCTCCTCAATTAAGGGGACTGACTTTGAGCTGGCTGGCCACAGCCAGTGTACTGTGCCCAAGTAAATAAAGGGTAAAATAAAATGTATAAACAGGAGTATCAGGGGTCTGATTTCTCTAGGAGCTAGCACGTTCAATGTCATATACTATGCACGTGGAAATAAAGGGTGACTTAGTGACGGAATACTGGCAGTCGTGGAGTTATTTTAGTTACTTAAACATGTTCCAGTTCCATCAACTTTCCTACAAAATTCTCTTCACACTTTCACAGACGGGTTTGGAAAATAAGCGTTTTAGAAAGATATTTGCAAGGGATTTAAAACCATAAGACAATAAGATATAGGAGCAGACGGAGGCCATTCAGCCCATTGAATCTGCTCTGTCTTGCAATGAGGTCTTGGCTGATCTGATTATCCTTAACTCCACTTTCCTGCTTTTTCCATATAATCATGGATTCTTTTCCTGATTGTAACTCTACCAATGTCAGCCTTGAAGACATTGAATGACCAAAGCTCAACAGCACTCTGCAGTAAAGAATTGCACAGATTCTCTATGCTCTAAGAGAAGGAATTTCTCTTCATCTCTGCCTTCAACTCACAGCTAAATATTCTGATATTATATCTTCTGGTCCTAAATCAACACAGCGTTCTGCAATTGATGTAATATGGGAGAGGGAGAGCACTAATTAATAAATATATTAGGCTACCATTTGTTGTCAGGAAGTTATTAAAGTTTATGGTTATGGTTACAGTGAACACCACAAACAGTTTCAGCCAGACAGAGCTACGACAGGTCTGAAAACTTTGATTGAATGAGGCAGTGGTAACGGAAACGAATGGGTATTATATCTGTAAACTTCAGGACAGCATATTAGAGACAGTTAATTAAAATTGAAGATCACAGGAACTGAGGGAAACTTACTGACCCCATTAGTAAATTGGCTGAATGGCATGGACAAGCAGGGATCTTTGTAT